AAGCGGTTGGTTTGCTCAGGGACCCAAGCTTGCTTGCTTCTGTTTTATAAAGCAACCAAGATGCAATTGGTCAGGGGACCAAAACTTGAAGGGTATTTTGGACACTCTTGCCACAACTCTGTAGGCATGAGGGGTCCACATTCAAGACCAAAGTTTGGGGCAATTGCCCCTGCCAGTAAGGAAATCCCCTGAGTTTGCATGGCACATATTCATCTTCACTTCCGTCTTAAAAGTAACTTAGGGAAATGTTGTCTTTTGTTTAAAAAAAAAAAAAAAGACGTCTCCTTGAGGAACACACAGAGGTCAGACTTCTGTGGCCGTGGGGTGCCAGTGGGTGATGAGGGAGCCTCCGCTGACACAGCATCTCCATCACTGTCCCAGGATGGCGACGTGGAAAGCTGCTGGGCAGCTTCTTCATCTTTCTAGCGAACAGCTCTCTCTCTCTGAGAAGCCAACCTATCTGCCAGTCCCAGGAAGACTCAAAGACCTGGAAGAACTGGGGGGAAGTCACTAGGGTGAGGATCTAGGTCCAGCAAGAAAGAGTGCCAAAGTCAAGTTCGCCCGGCAAGGGAGAAGTTCCTCTGGAAGTTCCGTCACTGCTTCCATGTCCTGGGTGTTTCCGCAGCCGACTGTTCATTTATTGTCACTTGCCATACACAGAATTAAGGAGCGGTCAGAGCCTGGGGTCTCACCACTGCCTGGGAAAGGCAAGCACTGTCTGTAACTGTGTAGTATATTTGTTGGCTAGCTTTGCTCCTACATGCTGTGGAGAAGCTGAGCAGGGTATATTAACCAGGGAGGACTAACATCTATAATGCATGAACTACAGAGCTTAGTGGTTCTGCTTCCACGGTGGCTCAGACAGTAAAGCATCTGCCTGCAATGTGGGAGACCCGGGTTCAATCCCTGGGTCAGGAAGATCTCCTGGAGAAGGAAATGGCAACCCACTCCAGTATTCTTGCCTAGAAAATCCCATGGGTGGAGGAGCCTGGTAGGCTATAGTCCATGGGATCACAAAGAGTCACACAACTGAGCTACTTCACTTTCACTTAGTAGTTTAATAAAATAAAGGTTTATTTCTTGCTCACATCACAATCCAATGGAAATTGAAGGGAATGGCAACCCACTCCAGTATTCTTGCCTAGAGAATCCCATGGACTAAGGGGCCTGGTGGGCTACAGTCCATTGGGTCACAAAGAGTCGGACATGACTGAGTAACTAACACTCATACTTTTTCCAAACACTCATTCAGGATTCACTCTGCTTTTTCCCAGCGGCTTCCATTATCCCGGAGGGCCTTGGGGTCCTCTGTCTCTGGCCAGCCACTGGGGCAAGAGTGAGAGATGGAGGTCAAGCAGGATGGCCAGGAGTAGAATCTATCACCCCCACCGTGTCCCAGTGGCCACAGCACCAAGCCAAGGCCACCCAGTGGAAGGGACACCAGGAATTGTGTGTCCAAGCAAACGGGGTTTGAAGAGCACACAGCTTTCTCATCACTGTGCTGGATGCTGAGATAGTGAGGACCACAGCTGGAGGGTGCTCCTAATTTTTACCTGATGTTGATAGCCAGGGATGGTCCCCCAGGGCAGATGACATTTAAAATATAGTATGATGGATGATGCTTTTGAACTGTGGTGTTGGAGAAGACTCTTGAGTGTCCCTCGGACTGCAAGGAGATCAAACCCATTAATCCTAAAGGAAATCAACCTTGAATATTCACTGGAAGGACTGATGCTGAAGTTGAAGCTCCAATACTTTGGCCACCTAGTGTGAAGAGCTGACTCATCAGAAAAGACCCTGATGCTGGGAAAGATTGAGGGCAGGAGAAGGGGGTGAAAGAGGATGAGATGATTAGATAGCATCACTGACTCAACGGACATGAATTTGAGCAAACTCCAGGAGATGGTGAATAATAAGGAAGCCTGGTGTGCTGCAGTCCATGGGGTCGCAAAGACTTGGGCACAGGTAAACAGCAACTACACAACAAAAGTGATGGGTGAGAAGGATCCAGGCCTGGGCAGAGCTGAGAAGAGAACATTCTGGACTGGCAGACAGTGCATGCAATGTCTCAGAGGTAGAGGAGCTTAGCATACAGCGTGGACTTGAAAAGAGGCTGATGTGCCTGGAGTTCAGAGGAAGAAGAAACTGGAAATAGAGGAGACCAGAGACAGGGCAGGAGCTGGGCTGTGCTGGCCTCCAGGAGCCACAGCAGGAAGTCTGGACTCTGTTTCGTGGGCCGTGAGTGATGGGAGCTGATTTACAGATTCAAAACTGTGTTTTTAAAATTATATTTCCAAAACTCCGCATTGCTCATAACACAGAGAAGTACTGAGGGTCACAGAGATAAAAGACAATCCACTCCCTTCCCTACAGGAGGACAGCGTGTGTATACAACAAAGAAGCAATCAGATGCTGCCTCTTTCTGTTTAAGTGTCGTGGTGAGTGAGACAAGAAACAACAGCTCTAACGATTTAGCGAGATGAAAGTAACCCGGAGTGGTCAGAAAGGGAAGCCCCAGGAGAATCTCAAAGGACACTGAGCATTTTGGAAAACAAAACGGAGGAGGCAGGGAGTCCAGGTGGAATCAAGATAAGCAAAGACTCAGAAGGGACATGTACCGTGCCTGGGGAATCCAAGAGGGGCTCAGACTGCCATGCTGCTGAAAGAAGAGACGCCTCAGCTCTCCATGAAGGCGTGGGTACAATGACCACGCTCAAGGAGGCCGATCTCCTAAAATGAAATGACACTGAACCTGAACTTAGTGGTGCTGCTGAGCTGGAGCACGAAGATCAGAGAAATTCCCCAATAATTCTCTGCTCATTTGCTCCCGCCAGACCGGCTGGTGTAACGGGTGACTTTATTCACTTAATTCATGAGAGAGAGTGTATATGTGTGTGTGTGTTAGTCACTCAGTCATGTCTGCCTCTCTGTGACCCCATGGACTGCAGCCCGCCAGGCCCCTCTGTCCATGGAATTCTCCAGACAAGAATACTGGAGTGGGTTGCCGTTTCCTTCTCCAATGCGAATTTTAGTAGTAGCAGTTTAGTCGCTAAGTTGTGTCTGACTCTTGCGACCCCACAGACTGTAGCCTGCCAGGTTCCCCTGTCCATGGGATTCTCCAGCCAAGACTCTTGGAGTGGGTTGCCATTTCCCTCTCCTCATGAGAGAGTACAAATTGCTAAAGGGCTGAAAAACCTGTGGGTTCCTCTGCCAGGGATCTCAGTAGTGGGTGTAACTGTACTGGGACAGGAAGATGGTATTAGTGCCCCAGGGGGATGGTCACTGCTGGTCCTACCACCAGGATTGACGATGGACAGTACAGACAGGATTCCACACCTCCTGGCTCACTGTCTCAAGGAGATTAGATTTGGCCACTTGTCACTTGCCCCATACTTGAGTCCTAGGCAAATTCCAGAGAACTGCGTTTCCACTGAGCCAAAGTTTCATGAATTTACACCTTATACCTTACAAAAGACTTGGGCATGCTGACACAAATTCACAACTATTAATTCTGTGTTTCGGTAGGGGAAGAGAGGGCTTCCCAGGTGGCACTAGTGGTAAAGAACCCGCCTGCCAATGCAGGAACTGCAAGGGCTGCCAGATCGATCTCTGAGGCGACCCTCCTTGTTACCAGGAGGTGTCCAGTATTCTTGTCTGGAGAATCCCATGGACAGAGGAGCCTGGCGGGCTAAAGTCCATAGCTTCGCAAACAGTCACACATGACTGAAACAAGTTAGTACACACACGCGGGAAGAGAATTTGGGGCGAGTGGACAAAAGTTAAAGAACAGGATGAAACCAGACCAAAAGGTAGCAGGACATATCATGCCACAGTCCTCTACACTATTTGTACACAGGCCAGAACTTTGCCCTGAGAGTCTCATCAGCCAAAGAAGGAAGGGAAATACACTGTTTTCTAGGACTGATGCTTTTCCTTCACTCAAAGCAAACGAAAAGCTAAGCTGTATGCAGCCTCTGGTCCTGAGGCCTGCTAGAAGCTTCTCACATATGTGCTAATAAAGAGAACGTGATAAGAACATTTTCTGCCTACAATGTTCCTAAATTCAGACTAGCAGCATGAACCTATACTGCAATTTAGGAAAATTAAGTCTATGAAGAAGCAAAAATACCTGTAGGCCATGCGAGCAATTCTTCGGTGGTTTTGCATAATCTGAGGGTAAAATGTGAAACATTTACCCTGACTGCACTAGATAACCTTCAGGCAATCTTTCATCAATCAAGTTCCAAAGAAGCAGTTGAGTGTTGAAGCACCCCCACGGAGCAATATTTATTCAACAAATGCCTATCAAGAACTCATGTGGTCCATATTGGACCCTGCACCTGAAGCCAGGGAGAGACAAATAAGTAGATACCATCCCTAAACTCAAACTAGAAGGGGATGACAGAGGATGAGAGGGTTGGATGGCATCACCGACTCTATGGACATGAGTTTGGGTAAACTCTGGGAGTTGGTGATGGACAGGGAGGCCTGGGTTGCTACAGTCCATGGGGTCGCAAAGAGTTGGACACGACTGAGCAGCTGAACTGAACTGAAGCTCAAACCTTGTAGTCTGTTCAGGAAAACAATGTATGGATAGATAACAATGTGTGGATAGATTACGACAAATGCAGTTATGTATGTCAGAGCGGGAGGGGACAGCACCCCAGGTCCTTGGCTGAGATGCTGCTGAGTCATCACTTGAGTGTAACTAATAGTGGGTCGGGGTTCCTTCTAACTTTACTTCTCTTTCAGTGGGAAGGTTGAACTTCTGTAGAAAGAACCAGGCTTCTGAGCTGGGATTTGATTTTCTTTCCTGCTTTTCCAATTGCCCCTGTTAGGCAAGAGCAGCTGATAGAGCGAGAAGCATGAAAATGTGCACTTCATTTTGAGCAATTACAGTCAAGAACAATTAACTGAAATGAGCACAAGATTTCTGGAGAAAAACAAGGGCCCAGTCTTTCCAATGTTTTGCAATAACATTTTGCTGTTTTTGTTGGCAGGACAGTACCAGACTATTAATGAGCCTCTTCTTGATGGTGTAAGTCAGCTGTTTTCTTTACCTATTTTGTCAGTCTTTGATATTTACAAAGTAAGTGGTTTTTTTCCTAAGTACTCGGTGAATTGTAAAAAATTAAACTTTTCCAAGTGGCATGGTTTCCTGGCAGAGAAAAGTGCATTTCAAGTCTTGGGTAGAACACAGTATTCCTACAATACATGTAAATCAAATCATTGTGCTATATGCCTGAAACATATACAGTGATGTATGTCAATTATTTCTTGGTAAAGCAGGATAAATAAATAAATATATTGAGGCATTAATACAGAAAAAGACAAAAAAAACATATTTCAATTCTTCAGCTACAAAATGGAGATAAAAATAAACTCATAATGGTCATTGTGAAGACTAATTAAAGTGAAAATGCCAACACATGGTGCTGGCAAGTGTGTGGTGAGAAAAGCACTTCCCAACACTCATGGTGAAATTTTAAATAACAAGAAATTCTTTGGAAAGCAATTTTATAAGATTAACAAATATAAAAATATTCATTTTCTTCAATCCCATAATCCTATGGGACAAATTAAAGAATTAACCTAAAATTTGGATTAATAATTAAATACTCATTTATGCTTTATAATATACTTTAAATGGCAACACACTGGAATCATGTTATATATTCAATGATAGAAAAATCATTGAATATATTATGATATATCACATTGTTCTGTTGTTCAGTCGCTCAGCTGTGTCCAGCTCTTTGCAACCCCATGGACTGTATCACGCCAGGCCTCCCTGTCCTTCACCATCTCCTGGAGCTTGCTCAGACTCATGTCCGTTGAGTCGGTGATGCCATGCAGCTATCTTGTCCTCTGTCGTCCCCTTCTCCTGCCTTCAATCTTTCCCAGCATCAGGGTCTTTTCCAATGAGTTGGATCTTCACATCAGGTGGCCAAAGTATCAGAGCTTCAGCTTCAGCATCAGTCCTTCCAGTGAATATTCAGGACTGATTTCCTTTAGGGTGGACTGGTTGGGTCTCCTTGCAGTCCCAGGGACTCTCAAGAGTCTTCTCCAGCACCACAGTTTGAAAGCATCAATTCTTCAGTGCTCAGTCTTCTTTATGGTCCATCTGTCAAGTCCACACATGCTACTGGAAAAACCATAGCTTTGACTATACACACCTTTGTCAGCAAAGTGATGTCTCTGCTTTTTAATATGCAGTCTAGGTTTATCATAGCTTTTCTCCCAAGGAGCAAGCATCTTTTCATTTCTTGGCTGAAGTCACCATCCACGTTGACTTTGGAGCCCAACAATATGAAATCTGACACTGTTTCCACTTTTTCCCACCCACTTGCCATGAAGTGAAGGGACTGGATGCCATGATCTTCATTTTTTGAATGCTGAGTTTTAACCATCTTCCATTAATAATATTTACAAAGAATTTAATGACTAAAAGAAAGTTTTAAACTTATAATGTGAAATGCTAATATTATAAATAAGTTAATTGTTAAAAAATTATGTGTACATAATTTAAATAGCTTTAACATATCTATAGATGATAAATGGAATAGATAGAAATGAGAGAGATAGATGTATAGATAGATGATAGATATATGAATAGATAGATAGAATTTACCTGTAAAATCTTTGGTTCTTTACTTTTCTTTACTTTAATTCTTTAAGAATTAAATTAAAGCTATGAGTCCTCACCCTAGGACACACACACACACATGCATGCATGCACACATGCATATACAATCAATCAATCCCAAAATATTTTATAAAGTAGAAGGCTTATATATACTGAGCTTTTAGAAAGAATCCCCGATATTAACAGTAGACAGATACTAGACAGATTTACGCTGTCCCGTGAAGAACACAGACTTACTAAATTGCATTCCACCCTTTTGTGCTGAATGATCAGAGTTGCCATGAGCCAAAATGAAGCTCAAAAAGTTCTCCAGATTAGGGGCCTGGTGAGTCCCCACTGTGCTTCTGCTTACCTGAAAACCAAACTCATCATATAACTAGTCTTTACTTTTACCAAACTGCTTTGATAGAGTGATGATAGAAAAAGGCATATACTTGGAGGCTTAGGACTAGTAAGCCCTGTATACATATATATATATATATGTATGTATGTGTATATATGTATATATATATACTGTATTATTCTCATTATCTAATATATAGAGAATATATTAATATATTGTTAATATATAATGATGAAAATAATACACATTATATATTAAATTGTTATATATAATATAGTATATATTATATATAATAATGAGAGTAATATATATTATATATATTAGAGAATATACATATATAGAGAGAATATATATATTAAAGAATGAGAATAATGCAGACTTGGGATTTAAATTTAAGCCTATCTAATTCCAGGTTCCTACACTATAGTAAAATCACCTCATAGATTTTTCTGCTTATACAATTAAATAAAGTACAGATAGCACCTAGGACATATAAACTTCTTAAGTGTTAGAGAGGCTTTAAAGGGAGGTGAACAAAGCATGATTGGTAGGCTTCCTTTGTCTCAGATGTTCTTTAATAGTAGCTGCTATCACAGTAGCAGTCATAATAATATTTACAGCTAGTATTCATTGAGTGCTGACCATCAGGCACTTTGCTTAAAATTTTACATGCATTGTTTCATTAAGACACTTCTGGTAGTCTAGTTTATCACCTTACTCAAAGTATGTGTACTTTTACCAGTTTTATTTCAGGCAGAAGAGCTCTTTTCAACATTTCTTAGAAGGCTGCTCTAGTGGTGATGAACTCCCTCAGGTTTGTTTGTCTGGGAGAGCCTTTATTTCTCCTTTATATCTGAAAGGTAACTTTGCTGGGTAGAGTATTCTTGACTGACATCTTTTATCTTTCAGTATTTTTGACTATTCCCTGGTAGCTCAGTGATAAAGAATCCTCCTGTAATGCAGGAGATGTGGATTTGATCCCTGGGTTGGGAACATCCCCTGCAAAAGGGAATGGCTACCCACCCACTCCAGTATTCTTGCCTGGAGAATTCCATGGACAGAGGAGCCTGGTGGGCTTATGGTCCATGGGGTCTCAAAGAGTCAGACATGACTTAGTGATTAAACAACAAATTCTGAATATATCATTCCTCTCTCCCCTGGCCTGGAGAGGTTCTGCTTAGATATCTGCTGGTAGTCTAATGGGAGTATGTTTGTAGGTGACTATCTTTTTTCCCTGACTGCTTTTAAAATCTTTATCATTGACCTTTGATAATCAGTTTTGATATAATGCGTCTTGCAGAAGATCTTTTTGCATTATGATAAATAAGTTTTTATGAGTTTCATGAACTTGTATATCCAGTTCCTTCCTCAGGTTTGTCAAGTTCTCAGCTATTATGTTTTTAAATAAATGCTCCCTTCTCCCTCTCTTCCCCTTCTGGCATATCCACTATTCTCATATTGCTTCTTTCTAATGAAATCAGACAGTTCTTATAGAATTTTTTCCATTGCTTTAAAATCTTAGTTCCTTCTCCTCTTCTACCTGAGAATCATTTTTAGATTTCTTTCTTCGAGCTGACTGATTCTCTCTTCCATATGGTCTGCTCTGTTTCTAATCCTTTCTAATGCATTCTTCATCTCATTTATTGAGTTCTCAAGCTCCAGAATTTCTGTTTGGTTCTTTTTTAGAGTTTTAGTCTCTTTGCTAAGTATTGCTTCTGCTCACTGATTTTACTCCTGAGCTCACTGAATTACTTTCTGAGTTTTCTTGTAAAACTGAGTTTCTTCATGACAGCTCTTTTGAATTCTCCATCAGTTAGATCATAGTCTGCTGTAACTTCAAGTTTGGTTTCTGGATAATTGTCATGTTCGTGATGTGAGACTGTTACCATGGTTTTTCATGGTGCTTCATGAGTTGTTCCTCTACGAGAGCATCTGAAGTAGTAAACACCCCTCTTGTTTACGTAAAGTTTTGTTTACTTCGACTCTAGCAGATCCACACATTGGCCATTAGAGGCCTTTCTTCTGATTTTCAGTACATGCTGCTGAAGCACAAAGTTTTGTTTTTCCTTACCTCAGCTCTGTTTGAGAATTGGCACTTCCCACCCTCCACTGCTTCTGCCAGAGTGGTCACTGGTGCCCTTGTCATTTCTGCTTATGCCTCAGGGGTCACTGGGTGTGCCTTTGCGATGCCAATGTCACTGCTGCCGTTGACATCTTCATGTCCAGTGATGCTTGGCACATTGGAACTGCTACCATAGCAAGGGATGGGGACCCAGGTAATACAGCCATGGGCAGGAGGTGGCAGCATCACAGGCACACCTGGAGGTTGCTGCCCAGCCCCTGTGGTCGCGGGCACCACTGTGGCCACGACCTAGAGTCTTGTGCACCATCTCTGCGGGCGCCACCAGGTTTTCCGGGGTTCAGGGTTACGGGCGCTACTTCTACTCTTCCCCTGCTTCTACCCACTCTCTATACTCCAATCTAGCCTTCTTCAGATGAACAAACATGTGGGTCTCTCTGGAGTCGCAGTGTCCTGGGGAGAGGAACCTTTGTTGAGTTCAGTTCAGTTCAGTTGCTCAGTCATGTCCGATGCTTTGCGACCCCATGGACTGCAGCACGCCAGGCTTCCCTGTTCATCACCAACTCCCGGAGCTTGCTCAAACTCATGTCCTTAGAGTCGGTGATGCCATCCAACCATCTCATCCTCTGTCATCCCCTTCTCCTCCTGCCCTCATTCTTTCCCAGCACCAGGGTCTTGAAGGAATCAGTTCTTCACATCATGTGGCCAAAGCGTTGGAGTTTTGACTTCAACATCAATCCTTCAATGAATATTCAGGATTGATTTCCTTTAGGATTGACTGGTTTGATCTCCTTGCAGTCCAAGGGACTCTCAAAAGTCTTCTCCAACATCACAGTTTAAAAGCATCAATTCTTTGTTGAGTTATGGACGTCTTAATTGTTGTAGATTGAAGGGGAGAGACAAAGGGAGTGTCTCACACCTCCATGATGCTTTCTAAGGACATTGCTACAATTCTGCCACTGTGAGAGGTTAACTCCCCCAGACTCCACACTCTTAAATTTTTAACTCACAGCTAAGGGAATCTCTATTACTGCCCTGGCCAGCACTGTAGCCTCTAATCTTTGTCATTGTTGTACCTTTCCTTGACTTACTGAAATGTCCCCTCCTTAGGAAAGGAATTCCATAGCAGTCCTGGATGGAGCAAAAGGCCACACCGATGATGACTATGAAGACCCTGAGCTTCGCATGATCGAAGACTGGCAATCAGTGAAAATCTTACCAGCCAGGCCTATTAAGGAATCCGAATATGCAGGTAATGTTTAGGGCCTGCAATCCTAAAATCATGTGCCCGTGCTGCAATACTGTAGAGTGACTAAAGATGCTGGTCCTGAATTAGCAACTCTAGGTTAAAATCCTGCCTGCACAGCTTATTAGCTGTGTGACCTGGAGTGAGCACCTGAAAACCATTTTCTATATTTGAAGATAGGGTTCAAGATATCTGAAGATAAAGCTTACCCCACGTAACCCAGGTGGTTACACGGATGATGCATGTTGAGTTCTCAGAGGAGGACTTGGTGCAGAGTCAGAGCTCTATGACTACTTATTATTATCATGATGGCTTCCCTGGTGGCTCAGATGATAGGGAATCCACCTGCAATGTGGGAGACCTGGGTTCCATCCCTGGGTTGGGAAGGTCCCCTGGAGGAGGGCATGGCAACCCACTCCACTATTCTTGCCTAGAGAACCCCCATGATGACAACTTGAGTCTGAGAAACAACTGATGAACATGGTAGATGGACAAGCAGAGATGTGGGCAACATCCCTGTTAAGACAGAGTTGCAGAGAAGAGAGCAGAACAAAAGGAAAGACTTTTAATACAGCTGATTTGTCTTGCTCATAGCCAGCATATAAGTAGCACAAGAGCGTGGCAGCAAAACCAGGCTTTTAAGAGAAAAAAAACCGTATTATACACCATCTTTTCTTCTTTGTAACTGGGACACCTTACACAGCTTCAACAAGGTCTCTGAACCTTAAATAAAGGAAAGCGTTGTGAGGGAAAAGAGGAAGTATTTGTGATTTGAGAGCCTGACCTACTGAAATGAATCTACAGAAGTCCCTTTGAGGACAATTACCTTGTAAATAATAATGATATTCCTTTGTTCATTCACTCAATATGCATTAATTAATATCTATTATATGCCAGTTATCATGTTAGGATTGATCAAGCAATATAAAGATAAATATTATAGAATAAGTTTGGTGTATAATGTATGCTGCTGCTGCCGCTAAGTCGCTTCAATCGTGTCCGACTCTGTGCGACCCCAAAGACGGCAGCCCACCAGGCTCCCCCATCCCTGGGATTCTCCAGGCAAGAACACTGGAGTGGATTGCCATTTCCTTCTCCAATGCATGACAGTGAAAAGTGAAAGTGAAGTCACTCAGTCGTGTCCGATTCTTAGCGACCCCATGGATTGCAGTCCACCAGGCTCCTCCGTCCATGGGATTCTCCAGGTAAGAGGACTGGAGTGGATTGCCATTTTCTTCTCCAGGGGATCTTCCTGGACCAGGGACCTAACCCATGTCTCCTGCATTGGCAGGTGGATTCTTTACCACCAATCATGAGGGAAGCACAAGTATGTAGTGAAATATATGTTAAGTATAAAATACATATGTTAAGTATGTAATGTGGGCTTCCCTGGTAGCTCAGCTGGTAAAGAATCCACCAGCAACGCAGGAGACCCCGGTACTATTCCCGGGTCAGGAAGATCCCCCGGCGAAGGGACAGGCTACTCAATCCAGTATCCATGGGCTTCCCTGGTGGCTCAGATGGTAAAGAATCTGCCTACAATGTGAGCGACCTGGGTTTGATCCCTGGGTTGGGAAGATCCCCTGGAGGAGGGCATAGCAATCCACTTCACTGTTCTTGCCTGGCGAACCCCAATGGATAGAGGAGCCTGGTGGGCTACAGTTCATGGGGTTGCAAGGAGTCAGACATGACTGAGTGACTAAGCACACACAAGTGTGTAACATAGAAAAGAGATCCAGGGTGGTGTGCAGGTGGGTGGGGTCTAGGAAGATTTTTGAAGGGTATTACACTGTCCAAGCCTTGAAGGATGAGTAGAATTTCCCAGGTGGATAAAAGAATGAAGAAGGTTCAGGTCCAAACTTTGGCATTTATGTATATGGACCAAGAGAAGTGATTTCTCCTCTTTGAGACTCAGTCTCTTCGTCTGTTAAGTGGAAGTAGAATTACTCATGCTCATGCCTATATTATGTGGAGAAGGCAATGGCACCGCACTCCAGTCCTCTTGCCTGGGAAATCCCATGGATGGAGGAGCCTGGTAGGCTACAGTCCGTGGGGTCACGAAGAGTCGGGCACGACTGAGCGACTTCACTTTCACTTTTCACTTTTATGCACTGGAGAGGGAAATGGCAACCCACTCCAGTATTCTTGCCGGGAGAAACCCAGGGACTTGAACCTGGTGGGCTGCCATCTATGGGGTAACACAGAGTCGGACACGACTGCTGTGACTTAGCAGCAGCAGCAGCGGCGGCCTATATTATGATGGTTCAGTAAGTTTGTAGATGTGCAAATATTTTGTCCGTTACAGTGTGCAGAGTCATGTAAAGTATGACTTTAAATAATTTTTCTTTTTCACAGATACACGCTATTTCAAGGGTATGATGGACACACCCCTGTCCTTAGATTCCAAGCCCTCTCTCCCCACAGACAGGCAAACCTGGATGAAGCTGGAAGAAGTAAGTAAAAGCTTGACTGCGCGAACCAAACATATGGAGGGCACTGCCTAGCAACCAAGAGCTTTACCGACTCTCATTTCCAAGGCATCTTGTTGGAATGCCTTGGTGATGAGCAGGTCAAGCTCAGTGAGGTGCAGGGTGATTCGGCTCGAGGGATCATGGTCCTTAGAATAGGTACATAGAAGGGAAGAGAACTAACATTTGTGAAACATTTTCTGTGAGTCAGGCATCAGGCTAAGGACTTTCACCTGCATCTCACTTAATACTCATCCTGTTCTCTGAGAGCAGAATTTAAACTCAAATCTCTTCGATAACAACATATCATTTTGTCCAGATTTAGGCCCAATGATTCCAGCTGCTAATGGTGTGGTAATAAGCCCTCCATATCTGTCAGTTTCCCATCTGTAGCTTCAATCAAGGATTACAAATATATATATTCCATTAAATTCCAAGAAGCATAACTTGAATTTACCACATGCCAGCGACTATTTATATAGCATTGACATTGTATTAGGTATTACAAGTAATCTAGAGATAATTCAACCAACCAAGGATTTTGTAGTAGCTTAGTATGTACTTGATGAAAAAATCTGAGTATAAGCGGACCCACAGAGTTCAAACCCATGCCATTGAGAGTTTCACTGTATACAGAAGGATATACATAGGTTATTTACAAATACTCTGCAATTTCATATGAAGGACATGAGCATCCACAGATTTGGGTATTCAAGGGGCATGCTGGAAGTAATCCCCAGCAGATATGAGGGACGACTATGGGTCAACCTCTCTGAACCTCTTTGTAAACCCATTTGCCAAACAGGAGCAACAATCTCTGCCATGCTCACTTCAAAAATCTGTTGAAAATATCTTGTAAATGTAAGTGCTCTAAACACATACAGTATTTTATTTTTAATAACATTGCACAAAATACAAATTATCCATCCCTGAGGTTGCAAAGCTATCAGTCATAATATTTGGGTAAATTTCATGTCAATGTTTTCTGTGCTAATGTATTTCATGCAAGGAAGTCTTTGTTGTATAGTATATACTGGTTTTCCGTCCTTAGCACATTGTTTCAGTCATAAAACTATCTCCCATGTCATAAAACAAGCATCAATAAACATAATCGTTACAGATCCTTCGCTCCTCATATAAGATTTTTAATTATTTTATTTAACCATTGAGTGAAAACATTTTAAAGGTTTTCAGTACATATTGTGAAATTACTGCCTGAAAAATCATTTCAATTTACCTTCCCAGATGCCCGGTATTAGAATTTCCACCTCATAGGATTCTCTCCAAAACTGTGCATTATTTTTTTAATTATAATTTTTAAAAAAGAGAAAGAGATTTTTCTGTTCTTTCTTTAAAATTTGTTTCACATTTATTAGTGACTGTGAACACACTTAAATATTTATAACACATTCATCCTTGTGCATTATCTATGCAAATGGTTTACTCATTTAACTAGAGGGTTTCTTTTAAATATTGACAAGAAAAGGAAACTACAATTTTTACCAAGTTGTTCACACAGAACACAACCAATAGAGATTGGGAGAGCAAGATAAGGGATGAAATATTGAACACTTCCTCTTTACACAGACACTAAGCTAAACATGTTAATCATTCACTCAACAAATTCACTTAAGAAACATACGTTGGGTGCCTGCCATGGACCAGACACAATTATCCACTCTGGTATGCAGCAGTAAACCACCAAGGCCCTGCTCTCATGAAACTTACATCTAGTGGATGGAGTCCTATGATATGTAAATGGATAAATAATAGATACAAAGATGATATATCAAGTGATGAGCTTTGCAAATAGAGTGAAAGCAAGGCCATCAGGAAAGGCCTTTCTGAGGAAAGGTGGGAATAAATGAATGAATGACATTTAATCCTTAAAATAACCTTGCAAGATGAATGTTATAATTCTCATTTTAATGGCTCCAACTTTATGAGCTCTGTTTCTTTGGGCCAGTTACTTACCTTCCCTGAGCCTTTACAGTCTAAGCGATAAAATATCATAGCTTTCGTGACAATACATACAGAGCACAGTGCCCGGCAGAGCAATCAGTTACCAGATGACACCTCCGTGACTACAAGGACTATTTCAGCCCCAGCATCTAGCACAGTGGCTTTATGTAAAAGGTTCTCAGCAGATACTGGTCACATGGATGGAAGAGCTTCCAGGTGGTGCTAGTGGTAAAGAACTTGCCTACCAGTGAGGAGACATGAGATTCAGGTTCAATCCCTGGGTCAGGAAAATCCCCTGGAGGAGGGCATGGCAACCCACTCCAGTATTCTTGCCTGGAGAATCCCATGGACAGAGGAGCCTGGCGGGCTACAGTCCATAGGGTCACAAAGAGTTGGACACGACTGAAACGACTGACCACAGCACACTGCACGTGAATGGAAATGGACAAACTCAGTTATTTGAACTGAAATTGGAAATATGACTAGCTTGAAATATGAAGGCTTCCCTGGTGGCCCAGCTAGTAATAAGAATCCACCTGCAATGCAGGAGACCCAGATTGGATCCCTGGGTTGGGAAGATCCCCAGAGAAGGAAGTGGTAACCCACTCCAGTATTCTTGCCTGGGAAGTCTCATGGACAGAAGAGCCTGGCAGGCTATAGTCCATGGGGTTGCAAAGAGTCAGACACAACTTAGCAACTAAATCACCTCCACAGCTTGAAATATTGATAGGAAAAGAAACCCGGTCTTCTTTCCCCAGTTTGATTTCTTTTTTTTATATTGGGTAAAGTTGTTTTACAACATTGTGTTTGTTTCTGCTGTATAATTAAGTGAATCAGCTCTATGTACACATATATCCGCCCCCTCCCCACCCCAATCCCACCAATCTAAATGTCACCACAGAGCACCAAATGGGACCCTCTTGCACTGTCGGTGGGAATGTAAATCGATACAGCCACTATGCCGAACGGTAAGGATTTTCCTTGAAAAACTAAAAATAGAACTACCGTATGACCCAGAAATTCCACTATGGGGCATATGTCCTGTTGTCGTTGTTCAGTTGCTCAGCATGTCTGACTCTCTGTGACCCCTTGGACAGCAGCACACCAGGCTCCCCTGTCCTTCACCACCTCCTGGAGCTTCCTCAAACTCACGTCCATTGAGCTGGTGATATTCTATCCTGAAAAAAAAAACATAATTCAAAAAGACCCAGTCTGATTTCTGTTCACATGGAAACTTTCTCTAGTCTGTCCTTCAAAGTTGTCATATTCAGTCGCTCAGTCGTGTCCGACTCTTCGACCCCATGACTGTAGCATGCCAGGTTTCCCTGTCCATCACCAACTCCCAGAGTTTACTCAAACACATGCCCATGGAGTCGGTGATGCCATCCAACCATCTCATCCTCTGTCATCCCCTGCTCCTCCCGCCTTCAATCTTTCCCAGCATCAGGGTCTTTTCCAATGAGTCAGCTCTCCACATCAGGTGGCCAAAGTATTGGGGTTTCAGCTTCAACATCAGTCCTTCCAATGAATATTCAGGACTGATTTCCTTTAGGATGGACTGGTTGGATCTCCTTGCAGTCCAAGAGACTCTCAAGAGTCTTCTCCAACACCACAGTTCTAATGCATCAATTCTTCAGTGCTCAGCTTTCTTTATAGTCCAACTCTCACATCCATACATGTGAATACTTGCCATTATCTCCTAGATGTACAACTGTGGCAGGCCCCAACAGTGCACTGTTAGACAGGGAAGAGGGCATTTCAGGAGCCTCATCTCTAAAGCACGGAACATATTGAGGGGACAATGGGAATTTCAGAGTCACTGGGCCAGAGGCTAAAGTCGCAAGTTCTTGTCTGGTTATAAAAAGTAGAAAATTCTGACCTAAAAAGTTAAGCTTTTCTTTCCCTAAAAACCACTGATAATTCCTCTTTGCATAGAAGTAAACTTTCATGAGAACAATGCTTTCTTAAAAGATGATAATTCTCATTTGATTTTTCATAAACGACTATGCCAGAATTTAAGTCTCCATTCTTACTACTTTATATCCTTTCATATTATCTTTGTAGTTTTTTGTTACAAATTTCTTCTTTTAGCTAGGTCACTTTACAAGTGGAACTATAATCTCAACATATTAAGTCAAGTGAAATCTTGTGAGAAAAAGGAGGTGGGAGATGAGCACGATTTTGGCCAGGAGGGAAGTTGTCTTATAAATTAATTCAATAGGGACTTGGCCTCAATTCAAATAAAAAAGGGAGTTTTGCCTTTATAACTAATGTTTGAATTATCCAGTTTTTATGGTAAGCAGATTTTTTTTATTATAACCTCATTCTCAGGAGTTAATTCCAATTAGTTTTGCACATGATGTGGTGATTTAACTATCTGTGAATTGGATCTTCAACAGTCCTTACAGGAACCAGTTCTTGTACGTTGATTCCTTAGACTGATTGAATGCATGCATGTGATGGCACTTCAGTTGTGTCTGATTCTTTGCAACCGTGTGAACTGTAGCCCACCAGGCTCCTCTGTCCATGGAATTCTCCAGGCAAGAATAATGGAGTGGGGTGCCATGCCCTCCTCCAGGGGATCTTCCTGACTCAGGGATCAGAGCCGAGTCTATAATCATGTCTCCTGCATTAGCACATGGGTTCTTTACCACTAGCACCATCTGGGAAGCCCCCTTAGACTGGTTACAGCTATCTTAAAGCACTAAACCATTGTCCATCTTTTCATTTATTGAGCACTTGCTGTGTACAAAGTGCTATGCTCAACAATGGGAATTAAAAAAATAAAAGGAGCCAGTGTCCAGTCTAACGGAGGAGGCAGTGGCCCAAATTGGCAGTTTTGAAATAATAATACGTGGTGTTAAGACTGAGGTGACACAAGATACAGAGAGCAGGGAGCTCCATCACTTAGACCAACCGGAGGCTTTTGAGAAGCCTCCTGGAGGAAGCAATGCAAAGGCGTCTTCACCAATAATAAACTAATTGTTATCAGTGGTTCTCGTCTGGGAACATTTTGCCCCCTAGTGGACAATTACAATGACTGGCGACATTTTTGGTTGTTAAGACTTGGGGAACGCTACTGACATCTAGCGGGCAGAGGGCAAGGATGCCGCTAAGTAGGCTGCAAACGCACAGGGCAGCCTCCCACAGCAAGTTGGCCGGCCCCAGCTCTCAATGGAGCCGAGGTCTGTTACAATGAAACCTGGGTTATAACGTGCTGTAAACTCAGAACTGCATCCATGAGTCCACCTTTTGCATTTAACCTCTTATTCTTCGTTCCGTCATAATCTAGCATTGTTACAGGTATATAGTAGACATTAGAAAATCTGTATTTGATAGAAAATGAGACTAGCCCTAGGGAGGGGCATAAAATACTTCTAGGCCTGGGATCCTATGCTAATACCATCAAAGTGTAGGTCCCTCTGGAGAAGATGCAGTCAAAAAACTCTCTCCTGCAAAAGAGCCAAATGGATCCAAATGTCCAAAGACACAAAATGGAATATGGCCAGCTACAATTAGGGATTAGCATCCTAAGTGAAGTAAGTCAGAAAGAGAAAGAAAAATACCATATGATATCACTTGTATGTGGAATCTAAAGTAGGACACAAATGAACCTATCTACAAAACAGAAATAGACTCGCAGACAGAGATCAGACTTGCAGTTGCCAAGGGGGGTGGGGGGAGAGAAGGGGATGGACTGGGAGTTTGGGGGTGGTAGATGCAAGCTATTACATTTAGAATGGATCAACAAGGTGCTAATGTATAGCACAGGGAAATATATTCAACATGCTGTTACAAGGACTTCCCTAGTGGCTCAGAGGGTAAAGCGTCTGCCTACAATGCAGGAGACCCGGGTTCAATCCCTGGGTCAGGAAGATCTCCTGGAGATGGAAATGGCGACGCACTCCAGTATTCTTGCCTGGAAAATCCTACGGACGGAGGAGCCTGATAGGCTACAGTCCATGGGGTCGCAAAGAGTCGGACACGACTGAGCGACTTCACTTTCTTTCCTGTTATAAACCATAATGGAAAAGAATATTAAAGCAAAACGCATATAGGTGCATAACTAAGTCTTTGCCATACAGCAAAGATTAGCACAACGTTGTAAATTACCTGTTGTTGTTGTTGCTGTTGTTGTTCAGTCACTTCGTGTCCAACTCTTTGTGACTCCGTGGATTGCAGCATGCCAGGTTTCCCTGTCCTTCACCATCTCCCAGGGTTTGCCCAAGTTCATGTCCATTGAGTCGGTGATGCCATCCAACCATCTCATCCTCTGTCATCGCCTTCCCCTCCTGCCCTCAATCTTTCCCAGCATCACGGTCTTTTCCAGTGAGTCGGCTCTTTGCATCAGGTGGCCAAAGTATTGGAGCTTCAGCATCAGTCCTTCCAATGACTATTCAGGGTTGATACCCTTTAGGATTGATACTTCATTTAAAAATTAATTAATTTTTAAAAGTAGAATTTAGCCAGCAAAGGGGAGAAGAGGAGGCACTAAGGAAAACTGATCCCTAACACCCTAGTCACACGGGGCCCAGCAAGACGGAGACTATGGAGGGTCTCCCCTGCTCCAGGCTAGCAATGGGGGGTGGGAAGAACGTTGGGAGAGACCCTCTCTCCTGGGCAGGTGCACAGAGAAGATTGAAAGCTGAGGATGCAACAAGATCTTAACAAAAACCCTCCAGCACACCAGCTTCCGTGGTGTCTCCCTGGAGGAACTGGAAGCTGAGGGTGTGATGAAGGAAGCCACAGCAGTAACAAACCCGAACCATACTTGATGCTTGACTACATGGACCAGCAGAAGAGCCACATCATGTGTAGGCAGAATTACGTGGTCCAGTGTTCCACAGAGGAAAAGAGGTAGGCTTTGAACACCAAGACCTAACAGGTAACAGGGTTCAGTGACCCTTCTTCCCATTCACCTTGACCACCTCAACTTGGCACCAAAAAAGTATACTACTGAGACTCTATGTTAGTCACGGTTCTCTAGGAGCATAGGCAATAGGTAGATAGATTATTGATTGATAGATAGATATTAATAGATAGATGTGTGTACTCAGTCGTGTCTGACTCTTTGTTACTTTCTAGACTGTAGCCCACCAGGATTCTCTGTCCATGGACCTTCCTAGGCTAGAATTCTGGAAAGGGTTGCTATTTCCTTCCCCAGGTTATCTTCCTGACCCAGGGATCGAACCCCCATCTCCTGTGTCTCCTGCATTGCAGGTAGGTTCTTTACCACTGAGCCACCTGGGAAGCCCCCACTAGATAGATAAAATAGATACACAGATGGATAGATAGATAGATAGATAGGATAGAAAGCTCAAGACATATAGGCATATAGACATATACATATAAATAAATTAGTGATTATGGAGGCTCAGTTCCACAATCTGCCATCTGAAAGCTGCAGACCAGGAATGCCAATGGCCTCTAACTTCCAGCTCAAGTCCAAAGGCATGAGCACCAAGAAAACCAATGATGTAAATCTCAGTCATCAAGGGCAGGAGAAGAGCAATGACCCAAGTCAACAGTCAGGCAGAGAGAACAAATTCTCCTTTCTCCTCCCTTTTTATTTTATTCAGGACCTCCATGGACTGAAAGATGCCCACTGGCTTTGTGGAAGGCAATCTGCCTTACTCTGCTGATCCAAATTATAATCTCATCCAGAATCACTTTCACAGACACACCCAGCAATAAGGTTTCACCAAATATCTGGATACCCTGTGACCCTGTCAGTTTGTTACATAAAACTAAACATCATCATAGACCCCAATGCTGACCTAGGCTTAAAGGCTTTCCAAGGCATTGGGCATTATTAGTATGTCTCCATCACCTTCTTCAGGACTTCCCTGCAGCTCAAATGGTAAAGAATGTGCCTGCAGTGCAGGAGACCTGGGTTCAATCCCTGGTTCTGGAAGATCCTCTAGAGAATGGCAATCCACTCAAGTATTCTTGCCTGGAGAATCCCACGGACAGAGGAGCCTAGCAGGCTACAGTCCATGGGGGTCACAAAGAATCAGACAAGATTGAACTACTAACACACATCACCTCCTTCACCCTCATATCTAAAGATTATACAGCAAGCCCTTAATAGTTCATTTCTGCCTTTAGCTTTTTTAAGTGGTGATTTTCCTTTTTATTATGTGGACCATTTTTTTTTTAAGTCTTTATTGAATTTGTTACAGTGTTGCTTCTGTGTTATGGCCATGAGGCATGTGGGATCTGACCTCCTCTACCAGGGATCAAACCCACACCCCCTGCATTGGAAGGCAAAGTCTTGACCACTGGACCACCAGGGAAGTCCTATCAATGCCTTTAATACAATTAACAATGACAGCTAACAATTTCTCAGTTTGATTGGTGTTATTTCCTGTTCTAGGCACATAGCCGATCTCATGCAGTCCTGCCATCCTTGTGAAGTATCAGTCCTTATGTTGCCCCCATCTCACAGCTGAAGAAACTGAGGTTTAGAAAGTTAAATGACTGGCCACGTTCTCATAGCCAGCACATGATGAAGGTGATTTCCCAACAGGGGCATTTACACAGGTTGCACTTTGATCTGCCTGCTCAATCACTTTCATGGACTTGACCATGCACATTGACCTTCACAATAACTCAATGACATGGACTGACATAAATAGCATTTTCCCTATTAAAAAAGATGAAATAATCTAAGGTTCACAATATGGTAAATGCCTTTCCAAAGTTTGACTGCAATAAGAGGCAGGATTGATTCTCAAACCAAATGTTTCTTATGCCAAATTACCACCTGAGGCCACTACACTTGTCACTGGCTTGGGGGTATTTGCATACATTGAATAGTTGCCAGCCATACACACAGGGTGATCGCTAAGAATGATGAGTCCTGGACTCATAACCTTAGGCATCTAACCATACTGAGTGAGTGGCAGGTCACGAAATGGAATAGTCACAGTTTAAGAGATAATTGTAATGCATTGTCTTCTACAGGTGCAAAAGCCCATTTCCAAGGATATCAGAAACCAACATGTTAAAGGTAAAGTCAAGTCACAACGTTTGAAATGTATCTGTATATTTTTAGATTTTTCTCAACAAGGCTATCTATTAAATTAACCTTCACCTAATAAGGTTTTCTAATTTTGGAAAGACTCTCTCACATCTTATGCCTTTTTATCACCTTACCTTATTAATGAGGAAGTTGACTGTGACAAGTCATATTCCATGTTGTACAATCTGGAAAGAAATTGCTTTGAAACATATATTTCTTGCCTCAAATACATAGCTAAGTTATTTCTCTAAGCATACCCTTGTAAAATCAAAAGACAGACATCTAATTTTAAAATATTGATTAATTAATATGAAAACAGATTTTAAAGCTTTAGGCAAAGCAACTCAAATTGGAGATGAAGATACAGGTAAGAAGCTGAAAGGAAACAATCAATTTCAGTAGTGCTGGAAGCACAAATGGAGGATAGCCACAGTAACTTAATTGACTCCTATACATTATAGCTTTTCTCATCACTTCACCCAATGTCCCCTTCTTCTTTTTACAATGTCCACTTGGAAAAGATGACAGTCCCGTGTTTTACATTTCCCAGCAACTGAAACATATCAAATTCATACTTTATGTGTCCGATGCTATATTCTGTAACACATTACTAACATCAGATTTTCTTTAATGGGAAAGTGTAATCGCTAGAGCCCTAAGAGGGAAGAGATGGCACATCCAAATTAGGATAATTTAAAGAGGTTTATTTATTAAGGAACTGTTTACTAAGGCATGTGAGGTGTTGGGGAAGAATGTGGGATGATGCAGACACTAGGGCCAATAGCGGTGGCATTGTCACCACTCCCCAACCCAGAGATGAGGGGACAGCCACAGCAAATAAGAAGGTGCTCATCACCTTGAGAGGAGCAGTGACCGTTTTTGAGGGACGTCACCAGCTCATGTGAGCTTCCCTGGTGGCCCAGAGGGTAAAGCGCCGGGAGATCCAGGTTTGACCCCCGGGTCAGGAAGATCCCCTGGAGAAGGAAATGGCAACCCACCCCAGTACTCTTGCCTGGAAAATCCCATGGACAGAGGAACCTGGGAGGCTACAGTCCATGGGGCCGCAGAGAGTCGGACACGACTGAGCAACTTCACTTTCCTTACTTTCCTTTCCTTTCCCAGCCCGTGTGGACCTCCCAGGGTGGGAATGAATGGAATACACACCCCAACCTCCCCTCCAAACTTCCTCTGGTCTCCTGCTGGGACTTCCCAACGGCTGCACCCAACCAGAAACCACAGGGCCAGGTTGTCTGTCCTGGTTGGTCCCCCAGGACCGAGAGAAGGTGGAGCAGAGGGGACCAGACGAACTGTGGACCTGGAGGCCCAAGAGCAGATGCCCACAAAGGGAAGCAAGGCGGAAGGAGCAACGAGAGTAGCTGACGCCCGGGCTCTGCCACCCCCTGGCTGTGTGACCTTAAGTGAGGCACCTAACCTTCTGAGCCTTTACTTTCCTCTTCTAGAAATGTGAAATCACCAGGGCTTTTGTGACTCTTCAGTTGAATTGCATAAGCAGACGCAGGGAACAAGGGCTGTTTCCTGACCCATCTCTCCTCTCCATCTTCCATAACCTGACTGATCCCTGTCTATCTGCCCTCTAGACCCCTTTAAACCATCCCAAATAGGGAAGCTTTCCTATCAGTGGCTGTTGAGTCCTTGAACATGGAAATGCGTTTGATGTACACAGCACTTGATCTACAGCTTTCCTTCAGTAACGGATGTACTAATATCGTTAGCCCTTAGAAGACCCCATGAATTATATAGAAGTTTTTTTCCTGCCTCTTGACAGAGAAAGGGCTCAGAGCACAGAGCACAGAGGGACCCCAGGGCAAACCATAATCGTTTGCTATATACAGAGGTCCTAAGTCATAGTAGAACCTTCATAGCCATTTATGGAGAAATGAGTCCAGGGAGTAAGGTAAGAAATGGGTTTCACAATTCTTCTCTTTTTTAATAGTCCACTGTAGACATGGAGTTTCATTTCTTTGACAGCAGAATCTTCTTTGACCACCGTTCTACGGAGGGGCCTGGCAGGCTGCCATCTATGGGGTCACATGCACGCATTGCAGAAGGAAATGGCAACCCACTCCAGTATTCTAGCCTGGAGAATCCCAGGGCCGGAGGAGCCTGGTGGGCTGCCGTCTATAGGGTCGCACGGAGTCGGACATGACTGAAGCGACTTAGCAGCAGCAGCAGCTACATATATTAATACGCCTGTGTGACAATCCAGATGGTTCTAATACCAATTCCAGCATGCACAGGGGGCATTTCCCCCACCTACCCACACGTCATCAAGCAGTTCTCTGGACACCATCTGGGTGTCCTACAATTCGATCCAGTTCTGACACTGTCCACCCAGAAACAGCATCAGATGAACAAGTGAAGGGTTCCCTCCTACCAGACCACACCTCACCACTGCAGATGCTGTCATGAACCCAGATTGTCACCTGTGCTTCTATAGATTGAAGCTTCCATCCACCCCTTCCTTGGGTTCAATTAATTTGTTAGAGTGGCTGACAAAACTCAGAGAAACATTTTACTTACTAAATTGCCAATGTATCAATAAAAGGATATAACCCAGAACAGTAAGATGGAAGAGGCACAGAAGGGAGACATTGGGAAAAGGCAGGGAGCTTCCATGGTTCTTGAATTTCTGTGTGTTCCCCAACTTGGAAGCTCCAAACTCTTGGGAGTTTGTGGAGGCTTCATTATGTAGGCACAGTTGACTACATCATTGGCCGTTGGCGACTGAACTCAATCTCAAGCCACTCCCCCTTCCTGGAGTGGGGGTAGGTTTAGATTTGGGGGACTGTAAATTTCAATCCTCCAATCACATGGTCAACTCCACTGGCAACCAACTCCCATCCTTAAGTAGAATCTGAAAGTCATCTCCTTAACATTACAAAAGACACCTAGATAGCTCTCATCACTTAGGAAATTCCAAAGGATTTAGGAGTTCTGTGCCAGACACAGAGATGAAGATCAAATATATATTCTCATTATAAATCACAAATCACAACTATGCATTCATCTATTTATTGATACTTCACCTTAGCTCACAAATGTTGGAGTAGTTAACAAAAACCTGCATGGTATAGCAGAAAAAGTTTTAAATTGTAGGAAATATGGAGACAGACAAAGGTAAAGATGAAATTCGAGATTCTCAGACACAAGTCATTGCATTCTATTAAATTTAAACTACTAGTTTGCCTCCATCTTCCTGGCAGTCTATTCAAAAAGGGAGAGCCTGCTTTTTCATGAGAATCAATTGCCCCAAGTAAGAAAACAGTAAAGCAATCCCTCAAGGAGTACAACAATACCACATCTTTCAGAGTTAAGTTAGTCCGGCCAGTTTTATAGAGGATGATGGCTGATATCCGGGTACCATGGCTGAAAAATATGGCTGTTTTTGTAAAACTAGTGCATGCGTGCTAAGTCACTTCAGTCATATCCGACTCTTTATGACCCCATGGGCTGTAGCCCACCAGGTTCCTCTGTCCTTGGGATTCTCCAGGCAAGAAGACTGGAGTGGGTTGCCATGCCCTCTTCCAGGGGATTGAATCCACGGCTCTTACGTCTCCTGCATTGGCAGGTGGGCCCTTTACCACCAGCACCACCTGGGAAGCCCCTTTTAAAAGTAGACCCCAGTGTAGACTGCAAAGGGGACCCGGTGAAAACAAAGCTCACAGAAGTTCAGCTTGTAAGTTGCATGGAAAACTTCTTCAATGAGAGTAATTTTCTTTGTGTCTTCTCTTCCTACACTTCCATAATTGATGGGTTTATATTACTATCCAGAGCTCTAAGGGACTGTACTGAGAAAGAAGCTGGAAGGGAGAAAAGTAATATGAATATCCCTGTTTTTTGGATCAGGCAACTTTCTGGAAAATGCTTGAATGATTTATGTGTTTATTACAAAATTCTGTATGTTTGATGCAAACACATTCTCAGATAATTTATTCATTCTCACAAAATGTCATAGAGAAAAACATATTGGGTGGTTCAGTCATGGCAGAGTTTTATGGTGATATTTTTCATCAAGTTGAGCAGTTATAGATTTATGTTAATGTACATTTCATATTATTTTTCTTGCAATCATATTCTGACATTATCTGGAAACTGTCAGATTTCAAGAACTTATCTTCCCTGAAGCTTGGCTTCTTTTATTCATTCCTAAAAATGGATAAAGGTTTATTTGGGGGCAAAGTATTCATATAGTGTAGGTTGGTTGTCAAAGTGTTAGTCGCTTAGTCATGTTTGACCCTTTGTGACCCCATGGACTGCACCCCACCAAGCTCCCCTGCCCCTGAATTTTACCTGGCACAAATACTGGAGTGGGTAGCCATTCCCTTCTCAGGGGCTTGTGATGAACCATTAATTAGCATTAGCCATAGATGCAGAAGAAACTCTCTTTTTAGATGGGGATAGCTGTAATATTCAAAAGTGGTTGTGGCTTAGCTTCTCTCTTTTTTTTTTTTCTTTTTTTAAATTGGAGTATAATTGCTTTACAATGTTGTGTTGATTTCTGCTGCACAACAGCTCGGATCAACTCTAAGTGGCTTAGCTTCTTAATGCTGAGCAGAAAGGAGGCTAAAGTGTTTTTCTTTGCCTTCCATGTGAACCAAGCACAAACTCTAAACCAATTTCCTTAGAGGTGAGAAGCACGTTATATATAAGAATGAATTTATAACAAAACACAATAAACTATCCATGAAAAGAAAGAGGGAATTACACACCAGGTGGTTGAACCTGTATATTCAGAAACATGAGTTTGGTTAATAAGAAGTACAATAGAATTCCATATAATGCCATCAAAAGACCTTTCTACCAGTTTGCTTTTTGTCAAATTTAGACGCCAAAGAGTTTTGAGTTAATCCGGATCTACCCCCTCATCTTATGCCAAGAGGCCGCGCAAGGGAAGGAGCTCACATAAGGTCACAGAGCAAGCAGTCCGACCCTCGACCAGAGTCCAGTCTCTTGGCAACATGGCAATG